ACATCTTAACAGCCTAAGAACGAAAGGCAAAAAAGGAAAACAAAAATAATGAAGATGCGTTCTGTTTAAGATTGGAGTCAATTCACGGTACCATAGATTTTACAATCGTATGATCTCAAACGGATGACAAAAACCACGTCTAGTTCTATTATAATTGTTTGAAACATGTTGAATATTATGATATTTTTTATATTTGTACAAGGCGACGCAAAGGATTTTTAATCTCACTGAATACTTATTTTTATCAGTTAACACCACGATGTTAAATATTTTGAATCTCTTTTATCCTGAAGAGCAAAAAATAGGAAAAAAGGATGATCTATAAATTTGGTATTTGCAGCTGATGTCGTGCACCAGCGCGGGTCAAAGTTTTTTGAGTTTGTATCAGTCGAGAAAGGTACAATATAAGATAAAACCAGATTTTACACATGTAAGTCTTGTGGTTAGTACAAAATTAAATATTTAAAGACATATCACGACGCACCTTTTGGTTATATAGGTTTTGAGATTTTTTTTTAGGAAATTAGACCGATGGATTAACATACAATGTCAAAAGTTCAAGACAACCATGTCTTATTCTAAATTGAAAAAAGAGTAAAATATCCGATGATAACTTTGTTTTGATTAAAACTTGTAGCAACTGAAATTTTAATAAAAATAAATTATATGATCGTTGCGGGCCTTTAATATTAAGTAAAAATGACTAATCATATGATGGAACAAGTTTACATATGATTCCAATTAACTCAGAAGTATATCAACAGGTGAAATAGCAACCGAATTCCATTAAAATTGATTTGAATGAACTTTATTTTAATTAAAAAAAATCAAACTAAATTAAAATATTGCAGGTGATTATATATATTTCCTTTACTGTGGTGTTATTATTTATGTCCGAGCAAATTCATATACAAGGATAATTAGTCAAAGCGTATGTTTTTAATGCAATTGATGTGAAGAATATTTTGCATTAAATATGTTGCAAAACAGTCCTTTCTCAATCGTATACAAATGTAATATGTAATATTTAAATATGGTGGCTGATTTAGACCATGTGGTATTTTCGCTACATAATCTGAAGATTTTCATCACTGAAAAAGCAAAAATATGGCATGACTTAAATTAGCCACCATATTTAATGAGTATAAATACGTAGGGAAAGGGCAGTTACAGACATATAGAGTTATTATGTGTGATGTTGGTGAAAATACGAAAGGACGAACACTTAAAAGCGACAAACTGTTCTACATTTTTGGGCAACTTGGCGAAAATATGGAAGGGAAAAACACTAGAAAACTGTTACAATATTTCGTCCGGCTGGATGGAAAATGCGAACGTTTATAATACAAATGTACGCTGGTTTGGTTATTACCCTTTCCTTTTATTACGCCTTTTGTAGGCCACTGGTAAACGACGAAGGCTCTTAATTTTGTTATTAGATTAACACCAATTCATGATGTGTTACACAAGTCCCTCCCGCTTCACCTTACCAAAGTTCTACTGTACAAGCAAGATACTGTTTTTTTTCTTCTTATTTTAGAAGTTTCTCCTCGTAATCAACCACCATAGGTTATGCTTTTTGATATATACTACATGTTTCTATTCAAAGATATACTGTTCTAAGACGTTTGTAACTATTAATTAATTAATTCATGATGACAATGTTCTGTTTGTTAAAGTTCGCTCTCCTTGGTTATTTTATTTATGTAAGCCAACCATCCCTTAAAAAAAAGTATCAAGCAAAAGATATGTTAATTTACATGTACTTTCATGACAAACGGTATACACTTTTATTTGCTCACTCGTCTAATTTAAATTCTAAATATTTGAACTATGTATCGACCCATGCTTATTTTGAAATACTTACGATACCTACGCACTGTTTTATGTTTGAATATTAAATGAAGATTTTTTGTCAATTAATTAATTCGCCGCCATGTTTCGTTTGTTTTGAAAGCTAGATTATTAGTTTCGTATTTGCAAATGAAGTCAGCAAATTTGGGCTTGCTTTAGTTGCGAATGATGTCTGATATCTGAGACTTACACATTATGATAGTTTTACTTTTTTCTTAAAGAACTATTTCAGAACTGGTTTGAAATCAGTGTGATACCAGTTCACTCACAATATCGTTGTCACGTTATTTTAACAGTATTTAAGTATGACAATTTGTTCCCAACTACCAAATATTCTAAGCCACATTGACTGACACTGGTACGACTTATGCGAAAGGTCGTAAATAAGTAAGAAACCATTTAACGTGGACATAACTTTGATTTCCAGCTTTATAAATCATTACAGTTTGAAACACCACCTTTTTGATAGGAACACCTGGTAAATACGACCATGTTTTCCTTTATTTAGAGTTATTTTTGTCCCAAGATTGACGTTTATCCGGAGGTTTGACTGTATAGAATACTTGAGATACGTTTCAACACGTTCGTATTATGCATAAAATCCAATACGATTTAAGTGCACACATCTCACATGCCATTCTTTTCATTTTCTTATAATTACTAGAAATGTAATAAAATCTACATTAGGAAAAGATTTCCAACAAAAATAATCTCGTGGCAAAAATAAAACCGCGGCTTTTAAAGGCTCATTTTCCGACTAATCAGCGGTTGGAGATACTATTTTGACTTTTACTACCCAGGATAAACGTTTAAATTGGATAAACAGATACTTTTCTGTCAGATCCAATAATCTTTTAGTGCATTTTGTCCTGTTTACAATCGTAATCCGGCTAAACCACAAAATACGGTGTCCACAGATTTAGAATATCGCTATTCATACCCGATTTTGTTGAATGGACTTGATCCGTTTTGATTTGGACTAGTCCATTCAACAGCCGACAATAAAAACGTTTGGCATGGGTTCATGTATATACGAAGGAATTGTTTGAATGTTATCATAGAAAACATATGTTATAGTAGTTTTACGATCATTACACATTCGTAACGTTATACTTCTGAAAAAAATCCCGCTCAGTGAGGGATTTGAACTCGACCATGGTCATCGCCTTACACACAAATAAGCACAATTTGTGTGTGTGTTTGGGTTTGTTTACCCTCGCCACCGGAAAGAGACCACACGGGCGAACACAATTCTCTCGGCCAGCAAGTATTTATAGTAAAAGCGATAGTTGTGCATTTTACGTAACTTTCACAAAACACCTTCGGACTTTCGGATAAAGAATGGCTGTTCCAAAGTTAGACTTCTTTCAAACACGCTTCAATTAGCAATAAATGATTTAAAACACAACTAAAATTTTGCCACTATAAAATATAAAAAGAAACGTATCGGTGTGCATAAATGTTCTTTGTATCGTGTAATGTATATCTATACTTTATTAATATATATTCACATATATTAATTATAATTCATATCTAAATGAATGCATGTATTTTCTGTATGACACACATTTTTTTTGTTTTATGTTGCACCAATACAGTAGAGGTCTTTGTTGACATTGCATCCTTACTGGTGGAAGAAGACCTCACGTGACCCTCCGTGCATTATTTCAGGCATTGTTTTCAAGCACGAGCGGGCACCTGATTAGAACCACCAACGTTTCGTAATCTAGCTTGATAGCGACGTATATTATACTAAGTACTTGGTTTTCTGACTTCATTTCAACGTTTATTGTCGTGTTTTATTTTGTACGGTCTTGAAATATGTTATGATACAAAAAACCGTCCATGATGTCAAATATTTTATAACACCTTATAGACGTTATATCAGTCTTATGCCAGCGTCTTGTTTTGTAATATTCTATATTCTCGTTCATCTCAACAAAATAAATAAATTCAGATTGGTATAATTTGTCTAATTGCTATAAACGTCACGTTCTAACTATAGTGTCATTATAAACATGAATTACAAAACTATAATTATAAAATGACATTTATATGGCCCTATTTATATAGGAAAAAAATCCTAACACATAAAGTTTTTAAATAATTTAAGTCTTAAATGTGGAAAAATGTTTTAAGCTAAAAAAAACCTTTTGATGCGTCAGGTCTATGACATTTTTAAACAATGACTCAACAGCTGCAAAACCTTTTTTTATTTATGCATACTCACTGTATTAAAGACCTAAAATATTTAAAATATTTACCCTGTAAAATATTTGTGATTTCCCTAAGATCTTGGACTCTTGTAGTGTTCTTTTTTTTCTCAAAATATAATTTTGATTCATCATGATTGAAATTAAAGGTCATAAAATTTATTTACACTAAATGATCATACTAAATTATCAGTAACCTCATAGATTATATGAATAATAGTTTAACATGCATAAAGAAATCGCTTTCTTCTGCCCACTACGGCTTTATACTTGAAGGTTGGTTATCGTATATTAAATCATCGTAAAAAATTCATCTTTGAAGATTGGCGGTGGTTTCATCACTATGTAAATTGAATCATCATGAAAATGTCTTTTACACTGGTTTATGATATTGAAATTATTATATGTTTATCGAAAAAAGTCTAGTCGAATTTTCTTTACGGTTCAAGAAATCAAATATGATGTTTCGACGGGGTTTTCGTGTTTTCAATAAACAATAATCTTGTCGAAGTATTGCTTTGATTCTTTAAAAAATATAAACGTATCGCAGAAACTACAAAAGAAACTGTGTAATTTTTACATTGTAAGAGTTTTTATATGACAAAATACATGATAAAAGCATTAATAACTTGACAGACTGCCTAAAAGTAAAAAAGGATATAATAAAGTAAAAAAGTAATAGCTCTAACATTTCAGGATGATTTTGACACCTACGTCATAGGTATACTGCCAATGTAAGATTTCTTTCTGCGTAACGAAAAAAGTAAAAAACAAACAAACAACTTTGAACCCTTTCTCCACTGATTTACTATAGGGACTTATCTTGCTTATTGATAATGGGCGGCTAACAATTTTCAGTCTTGGAGGTCTAATATTTGCTTAAGAATGAATTATTTTAAGATTTTCTGAGAACCAATTTCAGTTTAAACTTACCTTTTCTTAGAACATCTCCGAACACAGTGTAGTTTGTATTTGTCGTGCAGTTCCAGCGTTCATTTCTGAACTGAAATTTACATTCCGAGATACCAATCCGGGCACCATCGCTTATACATAACAAAGACTCTGGATTGTTTTTGCACACTTCAATTTGCGGTGACACTAAGCCGGGAACCTCAGCGCAAGTATCGTCCTGTATAATGTTCGTACCCACAGCGGAGATTCCCAGGTACCTAAAAATACGACAAAAATAAGTTGACATTGTTTATGTGAAACAGTATTTCAATATATGTTCTTAATAAAATACTTGCACACATGCTGTAGTAGCAGTAATCCTTATATTGAAATTGCCGTGATAGATGAATTGAAATTTTGAAAAGTAAGCTTTAAACATTCATGATAAGTTAGGTGAATAAACGACCAACACAAAACACTTGTCAACGTTCGTTTCAAGACAGGGAAGCATTATGTATAACATACAAAAGAATATTTTGTTTACTGACAAAATAGGAATATTCTATTGTACCGAGGCGAATCCAAAGTTTTAAAGGTACAACAAGCATTCACAATGTTTTTTTCAAGTTTTGCTTTTATTGCGTCACCCCATACGAATTCGATACTTTGGGATCTGGAAAATGATAATGATTATTAAAATAACCATGACGTCAAAGAAAATGTAATAAATATAAGTGTAAAACTATGACTCTTTAAATTGATACTGGCATTTTTATACAATTAGATATATCGCTTGCCAATATATCTAAATTGACAGTTTAATAAATTGTATGAATTAATTTAATGGTCTATATATTAATTAACAGACGTAAATTAGCAATTAAATGAACCTGCCACTCATTCATTTGATTTATATTATCCTATCCCACAATAGGTTTTTGCTTCACCCCTTCACTTTGTTGAAACAATTGCCTTGCAGACATGCCACACCTGTCACGTAAAGGATATCTATTTGTGGAAACATTTTGAGAAGTTTGATACTTTTTCTTTGATAACCTTTACAATGTCGTTGGGATATGTATGATGTATTCGACGACGAATACCGATTATAATTATTCTAACATTAGCGACATTTGTTATTCAATATTTGAGTATACAGTAAAATCTAGAATAGTTTTGTCTTTTTTTGCAGTCAAACCCAAATGGTCAGTCAAATAGAGTTATTTTTCGGCCAAGCTGTATAAAAAGCAGTACGTTAAAACAGTCATTTTTGACATGCAGCGTTTCACAACTCTATACAGAATTAATTCAAATAATATTTTATACGAATGTGATATGCGTACATCTAAAATAATTTTTATTTCTAAGAAAAGGTACTATAACCTGGAATCTTAAAACCATAAAGGTGTAACTTAATTTAAAGCAGCACGCCTCCAGATTCATGCTAATTTTCATGAAAATTTTGAAAATGTATTTGAATGTGTAATATTGTGAAGTAACCAAAAGGAAGCAATTTACACATTATCAGTGGCACTTACAAACCACGTAAATTACCAAAAAGTGGTCAAAATATGCTTAAATAACCTTTACTGCGTTAATAACGCAGTAGAAATATAGTTGTAAATACTGAAAAATCAGTCATTAATCGCACTTATTCCGTCACATATTAATTGAATCTTGAAACTTTTTACTTTTCCTTACAGTACATTTTCTCAAGTTTGATTTTATTGAAATATTTTGATTCATCTTGAGTCATGCAGCTTTAAAATGAAAAGAGTTGTGAAATTTCACTACGGATTTTTTTTATCTGTCCTAAACAATGAGAATTAATTTCTCACCTAATCTTTCCAGGATTTAAAGACGAAATTTAAATGTTACTGTTGGTAATATAATCTTAGAAAGGACTTGAGTGGAACTATTATTTTCTGCATCTCGTAAAAAAATTGTAAATTCGATTCATGAAGTTATATTATTTATTTGGGCTATCTCTTTCAAAAGATATGCTATATACACAAATTTGGTTACTGCTCTGTTATCAGACCAGTGTGCAATCATCGTAAACCCGTTCGTCATAAATTTGTTTGTATCTCTTAAGTCGTATATATTAGATCTCAACGAATAAATACGTGCTACAAATTCCATTGCGATTTGTAAAATTTCATTAAAATCCACAACAATTTGGCAAGTAAAAAACAAAGTTATAAATTTGGGGAAAAAAATGATCGAGAGAGTACGAAATAATTAGCTCGATCATTGTCGATTTGAAATATTTGCTTAACAGACCATGTGTGACCTTTTCTAAATACATCAGAATAACAATGCATTAAAATGTATCAAAACTACTAGTTATAACTCATGTCAACGACAACATTTCGGGGCGATCCGTCAATTTCAACAATTATGGCATGCAAATTTAATTGTACTTCTCTTTAAATGACGTCCGGTTTATCCTTAAGGAAATGGAGTAGCTGAGCGAGTAAACCGTACTTTCATTAAAAAAAAAAGATAACTTGAAGGAATTGATGAACAATATCATGAATGTACAATTTTAGTTTATGATAGTTACATATTTTGTTAGGCCTTTTATATTTATCAAAATGTAATGAAAACGTAAATCATTAATGACATTCATAAAAATATTTTGTGTTGATTATTCATTGATGACGCGGCAAAACTTTTATTAAACTTATTTAAAGAAGCTTCAATGTCATTTTTAAACTTTGGAATTGACACATAATTTCAAATGAATTTTAATTTTATTACATCATTTCTTAACATTTATACGTTATTAAGAAACTTTCAATTTGAAATGATAAAGAAAAGTAGGTACATTATCTACCTGTCTGTACATTAAAGGCGTAACAATAAACCATTACATGTGTTCATAAGTATTTTCTTTATACATGTATTCAGTTTATGCAGACAAGTATTTTAGCTGAACAGAAAAGAAGTTATTGTGGTTTACTTACAGTTATAATTGAATTTCCATTTTTCTTGATACATTTTAAAATGAAAGAGTTTCTCATGCGGAAAAAAATGAAAATAAACGTGGAAATCTCCTAAAAAGTGGGTAAGTGTATCGAAATGAAACAGAAACGTAAATAATAATAATAATAATAATAATAATAATAATAATAATAATAATAATTATGATAATACAAATCATGATTGAAGTAATAGTGAATGAAATACTTATATGCAATATATGAGCTCAACAAAAATGTTTGATATATTGCATTGTTCTAAAGTATTGAAACTGATAAAGATAAAAAATACGTCATCGAAAATAACCCGAAATGAATTACATCTTCTCGTGTATATCTAGGCTCTGTTCCTTATTTCTAAATTCCTACATAACGAAAATATCTCAAAAGGTTATCAAAGAAAAGCTTGTGGCCATTGTTTACACTGTTTTTCATGTTTACGTTTTAACATTCCGCATTTAGTCGCACTAAGCCGAGCTGAATCGTCGGTGGTTGTCAAATTGCCTCATAAAATGAGAAAGATTATAACATGATATCAGTGTTGCGTCCGTCTATACAAACTAAAGTGGCAAATAAGACAGTTTTAGTGTTGATTGTTCACATGAAATGCTATCATTTTATTATAAGAAATTGATATTAATGGTCGTCTGATTGACGTTTTATAGATTGTGCTGCATTGAACTCGTCTGGCGTTTCCTTCGATCGTGAATTTGCAGTATTGAATATACATATATTAAAATATTCGTTCCAAGATGCTGAGAATGATGTTCTGCAACATGTACCGTCAGGTCTGTTTGATTTATCGTAAAACATATATCAAAAACCTCCAAAAAGATTCATCGAATATTCTTGTGGAATATCGATTAGATAACTAAACGGTTAATGATATTTTACAAAACAAAATGAGTAAAAGCATTAAACAAATATAATAAAGGGAGAGAGAGCGCAGCCTCCGACAGAATCTAGCCACATTGGACCACCAGAGAAGCATTTAGATGTGTAGTGGACAGAAATTTTCGAGACTAAGTCGTCTTTGTTGAATATCAAATGAGGCCCTTAAATACTTACACACTTTCTTAAACCTGAATAAATTACGGAAATGTACTTTCACTCCTATTTATTTGTATAATAAATAAGTACACATGTTTGTTTCAATTCACATGGTATTTGACTAAAGTATCTGTTCATCTTTATATTATAAACATAAACATGTTTTTCGTCTGCTGCTTTAGGTAATTACATTCACCTTTGATTGATTGCATGCCAAGTTTATCAAAATATGGATGTTTACAATAGTAACGTTTGCAATTCAATTTATCATTTAAACCCTTATTATTAATCAGTAGTCGCTGCAGTTTTTGTCTTATATACGTCGCCGGATTTAATTGTTAATTTGTTATATTAACTAAAGCTATAAATTCAAATAACTATTAAAAGTCAATGCATTAATTTTGTTACGTCTTCCATATAATTTGTTGTTGAATGTATTCATGTGGTAGGGAGCAAACACTGAATAATGGATCACATTTTATTACAAACATACACTTAATTATCATAAATACACTTTTTTTGTACTAAAAAGTGTAGTTCATTAAAGCTTAATATATACATATTAATTTGGTACTTTATATTACATATATGTATTAAACATTGTTGCAAATTCAGTATATGCATCATGAAGGTCTGCAAAAGAGGAAATACCTCGAACGTAATGAAGTTATGTTTAAAAGTAAAAGTTGCAGACGCAGTTTGATTGAGTCAGTTCATAGGAGATAATGCCAAATGTAACACCTTTCACACCCCTCCCTGGCACCGGCTCGAATGCATTTGGTTCACTCTAGTTTTATTCAATGTACACTTATTTATTTATAAGAATATGCTCAAAATAGAATGATCTTAAACGATTGCTACATTTACATGTTTAGATATTAATGAAATTACATCGTCTCATTCAGAGATGTTATTTATGTCTCTGTTCCATTGTAGTGGTAACTGGTACATTATATTTTTCTCCGTTTAGACCAAATTAACCAAACATAGTAAGTTCGAACAAAAAATAAATGAAAAGTAGAGTAAAAATGGGAACCCAGCACGGCATATCTAAATATAATGCAGGCTCGGTTTGATTGAGACGGTTTATAAGAGATAATGCAATCCACCTTGCAAACAAATCCCTTGCACCGGATTAGGAACAATTTTACTAAATACTTGAATATGGTAAGGCGCTCTACAAAAGTGAAAGTCGTTGCAAACGAAATTAAAGATCGATTCTATTATTAAAAGATGCCTTACGA